AACTGTGTGTCCCAGGAGAGGATCTGGGGGGACCTAGGAATTTATCTATCCCTCATCTGCCCTATAGAATACTTTTAATCTGTAGGTTTCCTGGCACCACTGAGTTTTCTTTATCAATTTAACACATATGAATTTAAGCGATGTTTTGTCTGGTCTTTCCATCTGAGTTTACTGTTGATTTTGTCATATCTTCCTTGTATATTATCTTTAATACATAAAGAATTCATATAAATAAAATTAAAAATGAGTACTTCCATTTAAAAAAATGGGAAAACATGTGAAAAATACAATTCACAAAAGGTTAGGAAATGCCCGGGGTTAGTGAGGTGTAACTGGCCCTCACTTTCTATGATTATGCATATAGTTTTATTCAGTTCTTTCAATCAGTAATAGTTTCAAAATTTTGAATGTGTACTCTTTAAAATCAAGCAATTCCACTTCTGAAATTTATCCCATGGAAACCTTTGCCAAACTAAGCAGAGGCAGATGTACAAGGATTTTCCTTGTAGCATTATTTGCTATATAGTCCATCAAGAGTAGATCAGTAAGCCTTGGTGAGGTGGTTCAGTTGGTTGTAGTGTCATCCTGTACTCCAAAAGGTTGAGGGTTTAATTCCTGGTCAGAGCACATACCTAGGTAGTGGGAGGCAACAGACTGATGTTTCTCTCTCTCTCTCTCTCTCTCTCTCTCTCTCTCTCTCTCTCTCTCTCTCTCCCCCTTCCTCTCTCTCTAGAGTCTGTGTATGTATGTGTTGCCTGAGAGCTCTCTCTAGCTGCTGGAGACCACTCTGATCTCAAAACAGTCCAGAAGAGACAGAGGGTTAATCCTTGCATGTAGTAGCCCTTTATTTAAATGCAAGCAGCAATTGGTGCATAAATGCGCCTGCTCCCTCCCTCCTCAGGTGGAGTAACATGGAAGCAGGTGTTCTACACTGGCTTCCAGAGTTCCATAGCATGACCTTTAGTTGCCTACAATAGTAACTTGCTTGATAACATACTCTGTATTGACTTTCTTCCCTATCTTACTTTCCCATACCCTTCCTAGGGTTTCCAGGGACCCCTTCTCAAATAAACTACTTTCACTTAAATCCCTATCTCAGAATCTGCTTCTGGGCTTACTCAAACTAAGACACTGTGCTTTGTTAGCCAGTAGGAAACAGGAATCAGCCATGATATAGGAGCCAAAAGGTCTGAGAACAACAATCACACCCCACATGGCTCCTTGATGCCCAATTAGCTCTCTGGGACAACCTAGAAAAGAGGACATAGCAAACTTCCCTCACAGTTTCAGTGTTCTAGGACAGGGATTAGTAAACTTTTTCTGTAAAGGGACACTAGTAAATATTTTAGGTTTTTTGGGCCAGGTGGTCTCTGTTGCAATTGCCCATCTCTGCTACTGTAGCATGAAAGCAAAGATAATACAGCAAAGAATGAGTGTCTGTGTTACAAAAAACTTTATTTGTAAAAGGGCAGCAGGCTGTAGTAAAGCTGTACTTTATTGACCCCAGGACTACAGAGAGAGGCTGGGCAATTAGCTGGCCTGTATGGTGTGCTAAGGGGGAGGTAAGGCCAGTACTGCCTTAGACTCTATGAGTCCAGCCACAGGACTCTCTGCATGAAAGTCCCACGGCTGTGCAACCAAGCCAGGAAATACTATATCTGTTAATAATGGGGTACTCAGTGTATTTGTTTCAAAGCTCGAGACGAGCTTTCCACTTCACTTTCCTGCTAACAGGCCACTGTTTCTAATAAGGATAGTGGTGCCCTGTAAGAAAAAAATTAAGCTTACCAGAAGGAAAAGCAACTCAATATTTTAAAGGATATATAAAATGGTGAATTCAATTGATATTCCAAATAAGACAAAGAATGCAAAACTTGATTACAAATAATTTATGAAGCAATAAATGGAATCTTCTGCTAGAAACTGAAGGCGTAACGTTGATAGATGACTGTGAGAAAGACTTTGTTTATGATACTGAAAAGTACAGAACCACGTTCACCAAGAGGGAGTTGATTTAAAGATGGGTGAAGGTGTTAGTAAAACAACTATTCTAAATAATGCAGATCTCCTGATATGGTGAATTACATTTTGGAAAACCTGCAAATAAGCTACAAAACTACAGTTGGTTACCTGTTCCAGTTCCCAAAAAGAATTCTCCATAGTGAGCTTCCTCTAGCCCTTGAGCCATATTTAGACCCAGTTTTTGGAAAGGTTCATTTGTGAGCTTACCTAAAGAGGCAGTGAGCCCAAGAATGAAGAACAAGTAGTATCTGACTATTTTCTTTTTTGGTGGTGTTATTGGGCTGATGAGTAAGAAAATGCAGAAGACAGATGGTGTGGCAGAAGCATGTGTTGAAATATTAATCTTTGTGCTTTTCCCTGTTCACTTCCTACTAACCTTCTGGCCCTCCAAGTATAGTCAGCCAGGACCTTTTCACAATCCTGCCTTAAGGTCAGATGGGTAGAGATAATCAAAGAACTCTTACAGGTTTTTTTAAATATATTTTATTGATTATGCTATTACAGTCATCCCATTTCCTCCCCTTCATTCCCCTTGACCCTGCACACCCTCTCCCATCCACATTACCCCCTTTAGTTCATGTCCATGTGTCATAAGTTCTTTAGCTTCTACATTTCCTATATACTATTCTTGCCTCCCCCCATCTATTTTCTACCTACCATCTATGCTACTTATTCTCTGTACCTTTTTCCCCTCTCTCCTCCTCCCACTCCCCTGTTGCTAACCCTCCATGTGATCTCCATTTCTGTGGTTCTGTTCCTGCTCTAGTTGTTTGCTTAGTTTTTGTTTTTGTTTTAGGTGTGGTTGTTAATAATTGTGAGTTTGCTGTCATTTTACTGTACATGTTTTTTTATCTTATTTTTCTTAGATAAGTCCCTTTAACATTTCATATAATAAGGGCTTGGTGATGATGAACTCCTTTAACTTTGCCTTATCTGAGAAGCACTTTATCTGCCCTTCCATTCTAAATGATAGCTTTTCTGGATAGAGCAATCTGGGATGTAGGTCCTTGCCTTTCATGATTTGGAATACTTCTTCCCAGCCCTTTCTTGCCTGAAAGGTCTCTTTTGAGAAATCAGCTGACAGTCTGATGGGAACTCCTCTGTAGGTTACTGTCTCCTTCTCTCTTGCTGCTTCTAGGATTCTCTCCTTCATTTTTACCTTGGCTAATGTAATTATGATGTGCCTTGGTGTGTTCCTCCTTGGGTCCAACTTCTTTGGGACTCTCTGAGCTTCCTGGACAACCTGGAGATCTATTTCCTTTGCCAGATTGGGGAAGTTCTCCTTTATTATTTGTTCAAATAAGTTTTCCATTTGTTTCTCTTCCTCTTCCCCTTCTGGTACCCCTATAATTCGGATGCTAGAACATTTAAAGATGTCCTGGAGGTTCCTAAGCCTTTCCTCATTTTTTTGAAGTCTTATTTCTTCATTCTTTTCTGATTGTATGTTTTTTTCTTCCTCTGGTCCACTCCATTGATGTGAGACCCAGCTTTCATTCCATCACTATTGGTTCCTTGTGCATTTTCCTTCATTTCACTTATTGTAGCCTTCATTTTTTCATTTAATTTGTGACTACATTCAACCAATTCTGTGAACATCCTGATCACCAGTGCTTTGAACTGTGCACCTGATAGGTTGGCTATCTCTCTATCGCTTAAACGTACTGATGGTGAGGCTTTCATTCTGTTTGAGCCATCCTTTTTTTTTCCTTTGGTCTGGTCACACCTGTTATGTATGAGGGGCAGAGCCTTAAGTGTTCACCAGAGCGAGGCAACCCAGTCACTGGGTTGTGATTTTGTATGTGGGGGCAGGGTCCGAGAGGGAACAATGGTGCTTGCTCTGCTCTCTGTTGGATTCCAGTGCCTTCTGCTGCTTCCCCCAAGGAAACTGGGCCTTTCTGGTGCTGATTCCCATGTGGTTGGGCTTGCATATATTCTAGGACCCTGTGGGTCTCTCCAACGAACTCTCCTGTGAGGCTGGGAGTCTCTCCCTGTGCCTCAATCCCCAGAGGTGTTTTCAATCAGTGTTTTGAGGCTTTATTTCCCCGAGCTGGAACGCTGGGTTGTGTGGTCTGTCTCACTCCCCAGTTTCACCTGGTTTATCTTTGTGCAAATGTGGGACTGGCCCAGTCAGCCAGCTGCCTTGCATGCTGTGTCTCGCTTCACAATCACTACCTCACTGGGTCTGCCCATTGCACCCTGCACCCGGGGTCTGCCAGCTGCTGCCTGCACGCCCAGGGTTTGTCAGCTGCTGCCTTGCACGCCCAGTGCCACCACTTTTTTTTTGCTGCAACCCCTCTCCACCTGGCCAACCAACTCTGCCCCTCCTACTGGTCTGGATGAATGTGTCTATTTCAAGTCCTTGGTTGTAGGACTTCCATACAGTTCAATTTTCTGTCAGTTCTGGTTGTTATTTTGCTTCTAAATTGTTGTCCTTATTTTGGTTGTGCGAGGAGATACAATGTGTCTACCTACGCCTCCATCTTGGTCAGAAGTCTCAGAACTCTTAGAATTTTAACATAGGCTTTTGGCATTCATGACAAAGACACACTTTGACAGACAAAATATTGGAATTCCCAAAGCTTTCTCTGGCCTTCAATAACAAAAAAACCCCACAAAACAACAACAACAACAAAAAAAAACCCACAAAAGAATTCAGGGCATATAACTTACACCACAAATAACTGTTTAGGGAAATGTAGCTAAAATGCCAAATTAACCCCAACTCACACATAGGAGATAAAAGTTCCACTGATTGGCAAAACAAACTTGAAGAGATGATGGAAGGGTTCAAGTCAATGTTCGGTAGAGGAGAGGGCTATTGGCTGGGGCCTGCGGGATGCTGCTTCAGTGAGGGGCTTGATCATGTCCACCTGTCTGTTGCTTTTTTGGGCACCACTCCTCCCGCCCGCCTGACACCACATGCCAGTAGTACAGACCCAATTCTTCTAGTGCTCTTGGGTAATGCTTTGAGCAGTGTCACACTTTATGCTGGAAAGCTGGTGGGTGCTATGGGGAAAGATCAAAACAAGAAGAAAGTAGAGCAGGTGCTAGAAGAGGAAGAGGAATATATGGTGGAAAAAGTTCTTGACCATCAAGTGTTAAAGGGCAAAGTGGAGTACCTCCTCAAGTGGAAGGGGTTCTCAGATGAGGACCACATGTGGGAGCCAGAAGAGACCCTGGATTTCCCCGACCTCGTTGCTGAGTTTCTACAGTCACAGAAAGCAGCACATGAGACAGATAAATCAGACGGAGGCAAGTGCAAAGCCGACTCTGATTCTGAAGATAAAGGAGAGGAGAGCAAACCGAAGAAGAAAGAAGAGTCAGAAAAGCCACGAGGCTTTGCCTGGGGTTTGGAGCCAGAGAGGATTATTGGAGCTACACACTCCAGTCCAGAACTCATGTTCCTGATGAAATGGAAAAACCCTGATGAGGCTGACCTGGTCGCAGCTAAGGAAGCCAATGTCAAGTGCCCCCAGGTTGTCATATCCTTCTATGAGGAAAGGGTGATGTGGCATTCCTTTCCCTTGGAGGATGATGGCAAAAAAAGATGACAAGAATTAGCTGTCCTGAGTACTAGCCCCTGTCAAATCTGACTATGGGTTTCAGGTGGAGTGGGGAAGGAGTTCTACTTGTCTTGACACCCTAGAGGTGGCTTGAGAAGATGTCCTTTGAAGAGCCTGTATAGTTTCTGTGTCCTACAGCAGCCCAAGTGCTTTTAAGCCATTCCATATTGTATAGTTTGCACACCTATCTGAGTAGAAAGGAAGGAGGATGTTTCAAGGCAACCCATTCTGCACTTTGCTGAGAAAAGCAAAGGGCCTTCTGTGAAGGACAAAACTTGCAGAATGGGTGTGTGGGAGAGCAGAAAGATACTGTAGATCTTTAAAAAGCATCTCCACAACACATAGCTTTCTTCCCAGTAGTGTTAACTGCATTTTTACAGCATAGCTTTTGTGTAGTTTTTTACTATTACTGGTGTATTATTTGGGGGTGGAAGGGGTGGAATGGGAAGGAAGGAAGATGGGTAGGATTATTTTTGTTAAAATTTGGGTCCATGTTGGGGAAATCATGAAACAATGGATAGAACAAATAATTAATGATTTGGTTCTGTATCCAGAATATTTTATCTTTTCTAAAAACATCATTTCCAACTAATTGAAGACTGTGAGGAACTATTTAAAAGCAGCTAATGCCTGAAACTTACAAGCCAAGGTGTTCCCTGCCTGGACTTAATGCTATTCCCAACAAAGGACTAAGCCAGTTGATAAGTTACCAAAGCTGCCATTTTGGGGATTGAAACTGGTTGAGAAGGGCAAGTCTTTTATTGGAGCATATACATAGGCAGGCCATTCTGTTTTAGAGGTGCTAATTCTTGAAATTGACAAGACCCTTTCTTTTCCAATTATGATGCTATAAATAATAGCTTGTCCATCCAAGTTACTGGTTGAGTTTTTTAGGGAGGGAAAGAGGGTGACAGGAGGCATGAGAGTAAAGAGAAGAGCCCATGCTCTTAGGGTAGAAAACTCTTGGTGCCTCTCTGTTTTTTGAACTTTGGACTCTGAAACCATTGGTGGCAGAGTTTAGTCACTGACAGCACAAGTTCATTGAATCACTTAAAGAGTTGGATTATTTCAATAGCTCTGGTCTCAAGGAGAAGATTAAACTTTCATACTGGGGCAGTGGTTCACTTTAAAAACACACACACAAAAAAAACTTTTTATCCTAAGAATTAACTAATACCCAAAATGCTATCTTGGCTCATGAGATCCATCAGTTCTTGACATCATCCAGTCCTGCATCTAGAACTTCACTGTAAAATATTTTTAGGCATGTGTTAGGTTTCTGGGAAAACTTTGTTTAAATGTAAACTTCATACCACACTGTCAGTTTTTGTCTTAATAAAACTATATAGATTTATTTTAAAAAAGAAATAAAGAAAGGTCCAAGTCAAGTTTACATGGACATGACTGTCATGACAAACAAGGTTAGAGTCAGCATGAGGACATGGCCCAGAATGCCTCTCTAAATTTGGACTGGAGAAGTCATTTCTAATTTTAAAGTTTTCCAAACTTCAGAAGTCATAGAATAAAAAGTCCATCAATAAATTATATAATATTCAAGTATTTCTGCATGGCAAAACAAACAAACAAACAAACAAACAAACAGCCCTGGCAAGTTAGATCACTTGGTTTGAGTGTTGTCCCCATATACCAAGAATGCTGGTTTGATCGTCATCAAGGCACATGCAAGAATGAACCAGTGAATGCATAAACAAGTGGAATAACAAATTGATGTCTTTCTCCCTCCCTCCCTCCCTCCCTCCCTTCCTTCCTTCCTTCCTTCCTTCCTTCTTCTCTCTCTCTCTCACTCTCAAATTAATAAATAAAATTTCGAAAAAATTCTAGAAGCAATTGTCAAAACGAATGACAGACTTCCATTTCAGGCCATTAGGGAATAAAAAGCACCAGATTTAGCATCTCACAAAAGAAAAAAACAACAAAAACTGGACAAAATACATGAAACAATTGCTTTCAGACATCGAGTTACAGGCAACACACAACTATGATATTTGAAAGGAAGGAAACAATGGAGTTGAGTCCTATGATCTTCACAACTGTCTGCCAGAAGGCATATTTCAAACTATGGAGTAAGGAATGGGACACCAAACAGAGCCCAGCAATCTTGCTTAGATGAATAGCCAGAGACACAGTTCAGGGTGTCTCTGAACTGTGTCTCATGTGGCTAGAAATTTCAGGGCATAGTTTAGAGAGGACTGAATGATATTGAAAATTAATTCTCAAAATCTCCTTAGGGAACTTCTGGCCAAGATGGAGGCATAGGTAGACACCCTGTGCCTCCTCTCACAACCAAGATAGGGACAACAACAATTTAGAAATAGAATAACAGCCAGAACTGACAGAAAACTGAACCGTATGGAAGTCAGACACCCAAGAAGTTAAAATAGACACCTTCATCCAGACTGGTAGGAGGGGTGGAGTCGGGCAGCCGGGTGTGGAGAGCAGAGATCGTTGGGACCGGGTATGTAAGACATCTGGGGCACACAAGACTGCAGCTGGCAGACCCTGGCCAAGGGGTGGCAACTGGCAGACCCAGCGAGGCGGCGATTGTGAAGCAAGGCACTGCGCACAACCCAGGATCCCAGCGCTGGGAAATAGAGCCTTGGGACACTGGTTGAAAACACTTGTGAGAATTGAGGTGCAGGGAGAGACTCCCAGTCTCACAGGAGAGGTCCTTGGAAAGTCTCATGGCGTGCACAAGCCCACCCACACAGGAATTGGCACCAGAAAGGCCCAGTTTGCTTGGGGGAAGCGGCGGAAGGCACTGAGGTCTGATGGAGAGCGGAGCAAGCACCATTGTTCCCTCTCGGACCCTGCCCCCACATACAAAATCACAACCCAGTGACTGGGTTGCCTCGCTCTGGTGAACACTTAAGGCTCTGCCCCTCATACATAACAGGTGTGACCAGACCAAAGGAAAAAAAAAGGATGGCTCAAACAGAATGAAAGCCTCACCATCAGTACGTTTAAGCGATAGAGAGATAGCCAACCTATCAGGTGCACAGTTCAAAGCACTGGTGATCAGGATGTTCACAGAATTGGTTGAATGTAGTCACAAATTAAATGAAAAAATGAAGGCTACAATAAGTGAAATGAAGGAAAATGCACAAGGAACCAATAGTGATGGAATGAAAGCTGGGTCTCACATCAATGGAGTGGACCAGAGGAAGAAAAAAACATACAATCAGAAAAGAATGAAGAAATAAGACTTCAAAAAAATGAGGAAAGGCTTAGGAACCTCCAGGACATCTTTAAATGTTCTAGCATCCGAATTATAGGGGTACCAGAAGGGGAAGAGGAAGAGAAACAAATGGAAAACTTATTTGAACAAATAATAAAGGAGAACTTCCCCAATCTGGCAAAGGAAATAGATCTCCAGGATGTCCAGGAAGCTCAGAGAGTCCCAAAGAAGTTGGACCCAAGGAGGAACACACCAAGGCACATCATAATTACATTAGCCAAGGTAAAAATGAAGGAGAGAATCCTAGAAGCAGCAAGAGAGAAGGAGACAGTAACCTACAGAGGAGTTCCCATCAGACTGTCAGCTGATTTCTCAAAAGAGACCTTTCAGGCAAGAAAGGGCTGGGAAGAAGTATTCCAAATCATGAAAGGCAAGGACCTACATCCCAGATTGCTCTATCCAGAAAAGCTATCATTTAGAATGGAAGGGCAGATAAAGTGCTTCTCAGATAAGGCAAAGTTAAAGGAGTTCATCATCACCAAGCCCTTATTATATGAAATGTTAAAGGGACTTATCTAAGAAAAATAAGATAAAAAACATGTACAGTAAAATGACAGCAAACTCACAATTATTAACAACCACACCTAAAACAAAAACAAAAACTAAGCAAACAACTAGAGCAGGAACAGAACCACAGAAATGGAGATCACATGGAGGGTTAGCAACAGGGGAGTGGGAGGAGGAGAGGGGGAAAAAGGTACAGAGAATAAGTAGCATAGATGGTAGGTAGAAAATAGATGGGGAGAGGCAAGAATAGTATATAGGAAATGTAGAAGCTAAAGAACTTATGACACATGGACATGAACTAAAGGGGGGAATGTGGGTGGGAGAGGGTGTGCAGGGTGGAGGGTAATGAAGGAGGGTAATGGGACAACTGTGATAGCATAATCAATAAAATATATTTTAAAAAATCTCCATAGATATCTCTGTCAATCTTTGCTGATGTCTAAGGTGAATACCTATGACAAAACTCCACAAGCCTGGGTATTAAGCAGTCAAGAAGCTATGAGCTCAATGGTTTCCAGAACTCACAAAGGGCTAAAACACATCTGAGTTCTGACCAGCCAGAGGGGAGATCTTTAACTGAGAAGTTGGGGCATTCAGCAGAGGTCCTAGGTGGGACTTGCCTCAGTAAAAGGGCAAAACTATTCCTAGAATATAGGCCTCTCTATATCCACTTTAAGAACACTTTTTTAAAAGCCTCAAAGGATCAACCTGAACTGCAGGTAGCTTCACTGGTATGAGAACAAAGCCCAACACCTAGTAAAAGAAGACAACCAAATTCAGGCACTCAACAACATAAATCACTGTCTAGCACCCATTCAAATTTACTAAACATTAAACAAACCAGAAAATGTAATCTATAACTAGGAGAAAAATTAGGCAGTAAAATGGAGCATTGACTTTTTTTTTTTAATGCTGCCAAGGATATGAACCTATCTATGACTCTTGGTGGAAGTAAGAGACCATCATTTTCCGCTATGGAAACCATGAAGACCAGATACTCACTTTTCCAGCTTCCTTTGCAAATAGAGTGTGGGCACATATGACACAGGCTCAGCCAACCAGTTGTATCTCTCCAGTACCTGAAGTGAGAGCTAGTGGTCTGAAGAATCCTTTCTAGGGTCATCAGTGGCAGCAAGGGCACCATCCAGGTCCTGGGGGAGTGAAGGTACCCTGGAACCAATATTAGCAGAGATTCCAGGGCTTACTGTGGTGATGGCTCAGGTCC